AATATAGCATCCTAAATAGTAGGACCCTTACTTTAAGGGCCCCAAAGCAAGCTATCCCTAACTTTCGGAAGCTCCCATAGTATATGACCTCAGAGGATTGCTCCGTAATTAGACCCCCCCTGGTGCCAGGCCTCTTCCGACGAGACTTGCCTTCAGATGGGGGTTTAAGGGATTTTTGTCCCCTATAGGGTTTAGGGTTTAAGGTTTAAGGATTTAGGGGGAGCAACATGCTGAATCACGTATCTTGCGTCCTATCCTAGCCGAGGATATAGAGCTGTTTAACAGTTTCTGCTGTATCTTTGTCGGGGCAGTGTTGCGTCAATGGCTTCCAGCTCGAGAGCTCCGACCTAATATAGAGGCCTTAGAAATTACCTATACTATCTTGGGGGGGGGTCCTCATTATAATTATGCTACAACGGCTCCCCAAAACCCTATTCTAATCATTTAGGCCCCTATATTCGACTATGAAGCATTAAAAGCGTACTGCGGCCATATGGGTAGTTGTCAAAATTATGGTCCCTTTTGGGGCACCCTAAATAATAGGCGCCGTATTATAATAAGGACCCAAAAAAGGGACCATAATTTTGACAACCACCCATATCATGTTTCGGGATTGTGCTGTCTGCTTCCAGCCTCATCTCCAAGGTGCCAAATGGGAATTTCCGAAACTAGGGACCCTAATATGGTACCTTAAATAATAGGATCCTTATTATAAGGACCCCAAAATAAGGTACCCCCTGATTTTCGGAAACTCCCAAATCGATCAACGTTGCAAATCGCAGACGCTAAACGTTAATAGATGTAGTCGCAGATTGATGTGAAGCCTCGTTCAGAACGCAACAAATGCAGTGTAGGTCGCATGGTGAAGCCAAGGGTAAGTAACACGAACACAGAAGTCTACACATAACTGAGTAATGATATCCCCGGAAATCTGTGTACTTATGCTAAATGCCTCCTACATTCGCCTGATTCTTCAGGCCAGTATGCTGCCGTCATGCTTTCTTACGCAGAGAACCTGGTGACCTCCTCAGACCTGAAGCCCTGGTAGGACTGAACCGTGTCGGCTCGACATCGTGACCCTGCACGTCTTACATACCGCCCTCGTGACACCTTCGTAGTGAGCTCCATGTCGTGCCCCTGAATTGAGGAATATACTTCAAGCAAAAGCCATCACATGGTTTAAGGTCTAGCCTGTATTCAGGTAAAAGCTCTGTGTCATCCCTGCCATTACTCTTTATAGAGCCTACACAGCTATACCAAAACTAAGTATCAACAGTAAGCAGCTACATTGGGCGCTCTGTTGTTTTTTTCGTCTCTGGGTCGGCCAACTGCGGGCAAAACGCTCGCCCTGAAGTCTTCAAGGAGCCCGGTCTTTAGAGTATGTAGGGATTCTTGGACCATAAGGGATCTACGGGGCTTTCATACGGCTTTTGGGATGTTGACCAATGGTTCAAACCGGTCTTTAGAGTATGTAGGGATTCCTGAGTTTCTAAATTCCTTAAACCCTAAACCCTAAACCCTAAGAACTCTGCGAGGCTTCCAAACAGCCTTAAAGGATGTTAGCTAATGGTTCAAACCTCTACCCTAAATCCTAAACCCTAAACCCTAAACCCTAAGCCCTAAACCCTAAACCCTAAACCCTAAACCCTATAAAGGCCCTAAGCCTCTACGTCGTAGGACCAGGCCGTTTTGTTTCACTTCCTGGGTAACGAAACCCTAAACCTCCCCTAAGGGTTAGGGTTTAGGGTTCAGTTTTTAGGGTTTAGGGTTTAGTTTTTAGGGTTTAGGGTTTACCCTGAAAACCCAAAAACCTGAACGCACTAGCCTGTCCAGCCAGGATTTTGAGGACCCAACGTCGTGTCCAAACCTCTGGTGACTTAGCTCCCCCATGTACCTACAAAGCCAAAGACTCTGAAACCTTCGCCTGACACCCTCAGAATCCGGACTGAAGTTGCGAGCTTTGTTGGCCCACACCCGTAAAATCCCTGACGCCTAAACTCTGAACCTCAAAGCCTGAAGCCTTACTCCCAAACCCAAGCCGAAACCCTGAACCATGCACCCGCGAGCCCGAACATATATTTGGGGGTTTCCGAAAATAGGGGACCCTAATATAGTACCCTAATTAATAGGATACCTATTATAAGGACCCCAAAATAAGGTACCCCAATTTTCTGAAACTCCCATTTCGGCTCCCCAGTAGCCTCTTGGTTCAATAAGGGTATCCTTTCTCCAGCTTCTCGGTTTTACCAAGGAGACTCCGGAATAAAAGGGGCAACAGGGTACTACTAGGAGGACTCACCTAAACCCTAGACTCTCGACCCTAAACCCTCATGGGGGTTTCCGAAAATAGGGACCCTAATATAGTACCCTAAATAGTAGGATCCTTATTATAAGGACCCCAAAATAAGGTACCCTTTATTTTCGGAAACTCCCTCATCAGCCGAAGGTGCAGGAGCCCGGTCTTGGCCGCTTCCTTTTTCTCTTGCGCCAGCACCTCCATAATGGTTGTTCTGGCTCCCATATTACGTTGAAGGGTCGAGTCATGAGCAAATAAAGGGCTCGCAAATGTTAGTCATAGTTTTCCCTTACTGTCCCTAACACAGAAACACTCTTTATGAACAGAAAAGAACCTTATAAAACTACGAAGTCCACCCATGTGGTAGATTCCGAAAACAGGGGACCCTAATATACTACCCTAAATAGTAGGTTCCTCATGATAGGGACCCCAGAATAAGGTACCCCTTGTTTTCGGAAACTCTCATGTTCCTAAACCCTAAACCCTAAACCCTAAACCCTAAACCCAAAAACCCTAAACCCTTGTTGCGCAAAGGCAGGCAAGCCTCGCCCGCTTTGTCGAGAAGCTTGATCGTGTCCGACAAAGATTTCTGAGAGTCTTCGAAGGACAGCTTCTCCTGGAAAGTAGGATTATATAAGCCCCAAAAGGATAAAGGTTACCTACTCAGCTAGCCTAAGAAAATGATGAAACTGTCGCTGGGACTCAAGGCGCCCTGCCCCTTGCGCTTCTTGAGACAAGGCTTGAGAGTTGTCTGGCTTGGAGGGCTTGGCATAGGCTTAGTTGGCTGTGCCGATGCGACAAATCATCTTGTGCTGGAGGTTGTGCCGGAAAAGCTCTTGAAGCTTTGGATGGTCAAACAATCGGAGAGGCAAACACAACACAACACAAGCGCAAGTGATCGTCATCCTCAAGCTGACAACGGAGCTGTGATCAAAGCATGGACAATCTGGCTGATCATGAGACTCATCCTGACCACCAGCATCTCTGGGTTGTTGTTGTTGCGGCTGCACCTGATTCTGTTGCTGATGACGTTGATTATGTTGGTGATGAGTCGTGATATGGTGATGGCGGTGATGATGCCTACCAAGCAGCACGACGGTGCCCATCGTCATGCCAGCACTTATGGCCATTTTGGCAATACAGACATGGCCGTTAGGGCCGTTCGGGTTTAGGGCTTAGGGTGTTTATTCTTTAGGGTTTATGACGTAACACTGTCATTGTCGTCATGATGATGACCATCTAATCATTGGGTTGGTGCAGAGAGGCAGCAGGTCGGAGCCACCAGCAAGCAAACCAAGAGCCAAGTACATTCGGATGGTTTAGGGTTTAGGGTTTAGGGTTTAGGGTTATGTGAAAGACTAAACAGGGGCGTCACTACGTAATGCCGCTGCGAGTAACCCAACGGTCGACGTCACATGACGCGGGCAACTGACTTTGCTTGGGCTTGGGTTTGCGGCATTTCTACGCTACAAGTTGTGTCGCCTCCGGTCATTCTGAACTAGAACTGGATTTGGTTCCACCCCGCATTGCACGCAACATTCGATTCCCCTCCCCTAGTCGTCAGCTAGATCTCGTGAGAACCAGTCGGCAGTCGGACCACCTCAACATTCGACATCTAGCAGCTTTGCCTGGTCGCGGACTTCTTCGGCATCGTTGAGCTTGGCATCGCTGCGGGCGACCTCGTTGCACTGCACCAAGTCCCGACAAGCAACCCAGACTTCGTAGGTAAGCACTTGGGTTCAAGGGCTTGTATACAGTAGACCCTTTAATATAGCCCGAAACCCCTCGGAACAAATCCCCAAACCTCTATAGTAAGACCCGAACCCCGTGAACCATTAACCCCTGTAAACTATACTAGAATAATGGTGATCATATCAGGGTCCCTGTGTATTCCGACTACGCAACCGCAGTGCCACTACTACTGAGTACCGTAAGCCCAAAACCGCAAGTATTACTGTGCCGTCATCCCCAAATTCCTACACCCATATACCTCATGTGTTAAACCTAATCCAAAACTCAAAATTCTAGATTACCTTTAAAAGAACCCCTAAAAACCCTAAACCCAACCCAAAACTCGAAATTCTAGTTTACTTTTAAAAAACCCCTATAAACCCTAAACCCTAAACCGTGGAAGCTCGACTTGCTGCGTGCAAGAAGAACTCGGAACCACCCAACACCCGGACTCCTAGACCCAAGCCCCATCAAACAGGGTTTTAGGGTTTAGGGTTTAGGGTTTAGGGTTCAACCCTAAACCCTAAACCCTAAACCTTAAACCGTGTTACTATAGGGGCCTAAAAACAATTACCTATACTAGTTTGGGGAGTTCCTGATTATGAATATTAATATTGTTATTAGCATCCTTATCGTCATTACTGCTATCATTAGTATTATATGAATGTAGTATACTACACCCACAGTCTACTACAACTATAATAAGGAGCCCGCAAAACCCTATTCTAAACTATGACGGCCCCTACATTACAACTTTGTTTCGGGAAACCTGGTAGTGTGCAGAACAAAAGCGATTTAGCAATTAGGGTTTAGGGTTTAGGGTTGTACCACAGGTTGATAAGAATGGGCCTTGAGGAAAAGTGTCATTCATATAGGGGCCTGATGAATTACCAGTACTGTTTTGGGGTTCCTTACTAAAACTATAGTATAATGGGCCCCAAAACCCTATTCTAGTTATTAAGGCCCCTATACTAATCTTTCGGCCTGCCAGGATAATTGGAATCAAAGGACCCGAAGGGGGTTGTTGGGTCTCTCAGTCCTGAACCATGAAACAGCCCGGGTTTAGGGTTTAGGGGTTTAGGGTTTAGGGTTTAGGGGTTTAGGGTTTAGGGGTTTAGGGGTTTAGGGTTTAGGGGGTTAGGGGTTTAGGGTTTAGGCTTCCCGACCTGGCCTTGGAAACGAACTTCTGAATTTGCGCCGCTGCGGAAGCAACGCCTGCCTCGGCCTCGTAGATTTCCTTGGGCTGAGCAGGCTCGAGACTTGGGGGAGCAATGAACCGTGGGTGATGGTAATGAAGGGGCCTTGAGAATTAGAATAGGGTTTTGGAGTATATTGTACTACTTAATATGTGTCTGTGTAGGCGCTTCTGATTGGTTTTGTAATGACACCAACACCCATCTTCTCCGAGCACGAATCGTCACACTCAGCTCAGCGTGTTCGACTCCTGCTAGAGGTCAACCTCGTGACAACCAATGCCATGTGACCTCACACCAACAGCATCACCACATCACGCCATCCAAACAACGCCGCACCCTTCCGGGAATTACACATACCCCTAACTGTAAACCCTAAACTCGAAGCCCATCCCTGAACCAATAAATTCCGAAGACTCTAAACCCAGGCAACAAGCCTCTGAAGAGAGGCTGGTTTACATGTAGTACAGACCCCTCCCTATACACACCCTGACAAACCTGCTATGGGACCCTAAATCATCATACAATGAGTTCTTTAATCCCACACAAGATTTTCATCTACATTCCGATACACCAGAAAAGATGGGTGCTCAGAAATCCACATGATGAGACAAAGCTCTATCAGAGACCCTATCTTCTTATCGCGGCCCTGGTGCTACCCCCTTCAAGAACCCGCAAAAAGGAACCCCAAACCCCAAGTACAACAAGTTCTGAGGAGAGGCTGCATCCATCTTCTGCTGGGCTTTCTTCTCCTAGGCTTCGCGTCGTTTAGGGCTTTGGGAATCAGGGTTCCCCAAAGGTGCGTAAATAGTGCTTGTAACAGGGGCTTTATCAGGGTGGTACATGGAGCCTTTAAATGGGATCGTCAGGTTTTGTAGGAGCTTGAAAGGCTTTTTTGTACGTGGACCCCTGACGTAATGCTGCTATCGTCCCCAGGAAACCAGGGGGAGTTATCGATCAGGGTCGACATCAATCCCAGGAATCCCAACACATACCCAGTGGTCGGCCTGAGGGCGGCACTTCCAACAACCTTTGGTCTAAGCTACTAGGTTCTGGGTCCTTTTAGAAAAGCTCAGCCGAGACTTCTACAAAGGACCGTGGGCATGCAAAAAAGCTACCGACCGCCAGCAAAACAGCGGCCCAGAACCAACATAATCGCTGAGCGACGAAAAATGAGGGACATCACCGTCCTAACCCCCCGGAGGACCGACCCCAGCGACGCCCAGGGTTTGTTGCAGTTTGGAGTCTTGCCAGCGCCAAGATTCAGGGTTTGCACCTACGTAGTTCGGGCTGATCAGCATGCGGAAAGCCTTTGTTGTCAAGCCTAAAAACAGTGGAAGGATTTACCGGCCTCACGCAGCCTAGACGCCGTAGAAAGAGGCAGGCGAAAGCAAAGCTTGAGCTAGTAGACCCAATCCCCAAAACGACATGTGAGAATCGGGTCATTGAGTGTGCTAGACGTGTCAATATACAACCCAGAGCTATTGCACAACACGTATACTATGGTACATCAACTTCAGCATCACGTCCGCAACTCTGCGAACTACAAACTGCCTTAATTAATGCTACCACAGCCAACAATGGCATCCGAACATATGCCCTCACCAGTCTTCCTCAGGGGACCCTTTTACACCGACCGAAACACTAACCAAGTAATCTGAGTTAAAGACCGTATACCTGAAATAAGCCGGATGCTCCTCACGAAATCCCGTTGAAATCCGCTTATGCCAGCCCTTTCAAGTCCTTATAAAGCACTATAAGACCGTTTTCACAACCCCTGTGAGAACCGTACAAATCCTTTGTAAAGAAACCATAAGACCCTTCCAACAACACATAAGCCCGTGCTTCCTGCTTCCTTTGGGGGTTTCAGGGAACAGTGGAACCCAATATGCACCCAAATTAAGAGGATCTTTCTTACAATCAGGTATCCCTTACGACCCCTAGTGCAGACCCCAAACGGTGGGATGCGCACTATAAGGATCCCTGACGAAGGTACCTTCCCCCCAATAAACCCTAAACCTCTAAATTAGGAAGCCCTCACATGAAGAAGCTCTGGGGTACTCTAAATCCTGGACCCTAACCTGGAAACCCCGATTATAAACCCTAAACCCCTAAACCCCTAAAACCCTAGACCCCTCAACCCTAGACCCCTAAACCCCTAAACCCCTAGACCCCTAAACCCCTAAAGCCCTAGACCCCTAAACCCCTAAAGCCCTAGACCCCTAAAGCCCTAAACGCCTAAACCCGAAATCCTAAACCCCCTCAGCCCTAAACGCCTAAACCCTACAAGCCCTGTAAGCCCTATAAACCCTATAAACCCTACGTGCTCTAAGCCCTAAACCCTAAACCCTAAACCCTAAACCCCTAAACCCTAAACCCTGATTGAACCCTAAACCCTAAACCCCAAACCCTAAGCCCAGGAGTCGGTCTCCAGCTCCCTCTGGAGCTCTTCTGTCTGGGATTGGCACCAATCCTTCCGAACAGAAGAATTGGGTTTAAGGTTTAGGGTTTAGGGTTTAGGGGTTTTAGGGTTTAGGATTTAAGGTTTTGGGGCTTACGGTTTAGGGTTTGGGGGTTGAGGGTTTAGGGGTATTAGTGGTTTTAGGGTTTGGGGTTTAGGGTTGGGGTTTTAGGGTTGAGGGTTTCGGGGTTTCGGGTTTAAGGGTTTAAGGTCTAGGGTTTGGGGTTTAGGGTTTAGGGTTTCGGGTTTGGGGCTTTGGTATACCTCAATCGCTTCCACTTGACTGAACTAACCATGAACTTCCCAAAAAGGGAGTCAGGTCATCATCTCCGGTATGTCATATATATATATATATACACACCCTGACACTAGGTGTTAGTCAAAATCGGGCTAAAGTTGTCGTCAGTCCTCTGAGAACTATACAGGACTGTGCCATGGTATGCCGTAGGGTGTTTTTGAAACAGGGGTGCTTCGCGGAAAGGGTTGAGGCTTCAAGATTTGTCAGCCTCCAAGGCCTTTTAGGGTTTAACGGCGAAGGGTTGAGAAGCTACGGCTTGTCAGGCTTGGGCAAGGCACAATCCTTGGAGAGGCGACACGGCATGCGCAGAATTCAGGCATGCAGGGCATCCGCAAACTCTCGGGGGTGTTAACTCTCGGGGGGTGTTGCACGAAAGGCCTTATAAGCCCTCTTCTAGACATACCCAGAATCAAACAATATAATGTAGGGGACATAATAGTTAGAATAAGATTTTGGGGGTTCCCTATTATAGTTCCAGTATAATAAACCCCCAACCATAATAAACCCCCAACCCTATTCTAATTGTCAAGGCCCCTATGTCCCCTTCAAAGCATAATGCTTGGCCCCCTTTAACTCAAGCTACATTCCATGAATAATACTCTAGGCGGCCTAGTCTTATGATTTGAGAACTTGAGGCGTATTCGCTAAAGTTGTATTGTGCATTTCGGGTATAGTCGAGGCATGGGGCCCTTGGCAAGCAACAGGCTTTCAAGGAGCTACGTACTCGGCACAGTAGGCTTTGAGTTTAGGCTTTGGTTTTCACGGTTTAGTGGGACGGCGACCTCAAAGGCCCTAGAGCGCAGGTAATACTGGCAGCATAGGAATCTAGTAGCGCGTCTGGAACCTGCTGGAACCCCTTCTTGACTTGAAGGTCTAGTTGGTCTCCAGGTTGCTGATCCAGAAGGGACGGCCGGATAAAACCTAGAGCCCATCAACTGAAAGCCAAGTCACTTCTAGGTGCAGATCCCTGAAAACCGGATAAGAGCCGGTTGACTCCCGTTCTACCCCTTAACCCAATTACCCAATGAGCTGGCACTCCCTGAGCATCTCCCACCTTGTACTTCTTGTAAGCCTCCTGCTCCTTCACCCCATCCTCACCAGCAAGGTTGAGTCCAGGGTTCGGAGTGTAGGGCTGAGCAAAATGTCGGGTTCCCGCTTGGGAATTCAATCTTGGATGTGCGCAGGGTGTAAGCCATGATTTTCCGGACTGAGAAGGGCCTATCCTTCTATCCTGGGCCGAAGGCTGCAATCGCACCAAGCTCGTGTACAGGACCGTTTGCAAAGAAGCCCTCTTAGAAGCCTTCTAAAAGTCGAACAGCGAACTCAGCTCATGTCTGATCCTTTGTTTGCATCCAGCCTGCAAGAGCCTCTGATCCTAAACCCCAAAGCCCTGAACCCTAACCCTAAACCCTGAGCCCTAACCCGAAACCCGAAACCATACCAGGGAGTCAGAAGGCGACGGCGCAAGACGCAGCGAACTTTAGGACTTTAAGGCCTCAAGACCCTTACGGTTTAGGGTTTAGGGTTTAGGGGTTTAGGGTTTAGGGGTTTAGGGGTTTAGGGGTTTAGGGTTTAGGGTTTAGGGTTTAGGGTTTAGGCTTTCACCCTAATTAAACCACTGAAGCCGGAAGGCAAGTTTAGGGATGTCACGGGCCCCAAATATCGAAAGCTTTATAAGACTTATAGACGGGAGTCAGAATGTCGAGCCCTAAGATGGCCAAGGACACCACATCACTTTAAAGCTTTAAGGAAGGTTTTATAGGGTCTGTGTAAGTTCTAGGGCCCACGTCCCCGAACACCGCTTTACAACCTAAACCGTGAACCAAACCCTAAACCCTAAACCCTAAACTACCCTAAACCCTAAATACCCTATACCCTATAAACCCTAAACCCCTAAACCCTAAATACCCTAAACCCTAAATACCCTAAATACCCTAAACCCTAAACTCCTCTGCCACGTGCTTCTTGAGCTTCGAGATCAACTCCAAGGCCTCTGTTAAACTCTCGAAGCCAAGTGATGAATCAATTGAGGGGTAGAGCTTTTAGGGTGTAGGGTTTAGGGTTTAGGGTTTAGGGTTTAGGGGATAGAGCTGTTGACGAGTTTCGAAGGAGGTTCTTCTGGTTCTATAGGGCTTCTGGCGACATCTTCATCTCGTAGAGGGGGTCGGGGTTTACGGATGTCACCCTGAAGCCTACATCAAACAAACACCACAATCGTGGGCCAATGTCGCGATCGAGGCAAAGATTTGAAGCCTCGGCTCGCGTTGGAGTTTTCAATCTCCGATCGGAGGGCGGTTGGGGGCTCAGCCTGCTTGGTGCAGAGGCGCCGCGCTAAATTACACAGCTTGTGTAGAGCCACGACCATTTAACAAGTCCAACAAGCGCGGTAAACCCTAAAGTGAGCAAACCGCCACCAGCATTCAGCGACGCTGCCCTGTTCTTTGGGGAGGTCATGATCTTTGCACGGCAAAAGCATGTGTAGGTGTCGTGCATTTTCCCTGCGTTCTATGTGAGTCGCAAAGCTTAGATGGGCCGACTTTTCCGGGCTTGGTAGCTCAACCTAATATAGGGGCCTGAAAAATTAGAACAGGGTTTTGGGGTCCTTTATGGTATGTTTATAATCAGGAACCCCAAAATAGTATAGGTAATCATTTGGGCCCCTATATTACACCTCTTTCTGATTGATCAGCCTTCTCCGAAGAAAACTCGACAGATGTGTGCATCTTTTGTGGACACTCTGACAGTTGAACACCTTGCAAATTTCAGTATGCTAAAATATAATTAGCTTGACGCACTAATTCCGACCCCTATAATGCATCATAAACCCTTCCTTTTCTAGGCAGGGCACTCTCATGTGCCAGCAGTCAGAGCTGAAACACCCTGAGTCCTAAGCCTGTGAGCTTAAACCAACCCCTCTGGCCCGAAAAGCAGGATTTTGAAAAGAAACCCTTTTTACATCTGGACTTGGTGAATGCCAGCACCTCACTGAGTGCAGGACCAAGGACTCTGCCGAGGCACTAGCACAGCGGGAAAGGAACACTACATGAACTGCTTCATCCCTGCTCAATCTGAATAAGAAACCTTGAACCCCAAACCCTAGTTTTCCAACCTAAAGAATTCCTTCGCAACTTATCCCCTCCTTATAACTTCTCCCCCTTATGTTTCGTATCTCCTGCTTATTACTTATCCCCTCCTTAGAACATGACTAAACTACAGCAGATCCCCAAAAACCCCAAACCCTAAACCCTAAGCCCTAAACCCGATGCCTTACCAAGAGGGCTTGCATCTGTGAGCTCAGCTTGCACCTAGCGCCAAGAGGTGGACAGCAGTTAGAGGGCCAATAGTCGTCTTAATTTAGGAACCTGATTAAGAAATTTGGGTTTAGGGTTTTGGGTTTACGGTTCTTGATATGAATCCAGATATTCTGGTGTCATAGGGCCCAGGGTTTCATAATCAGGTTCCGACATTGGGGCTCCGAAATAGCGAAGGCAGAGGTCTGGTTGCTCGTGCGTGATGGCTCTCTGCCGTCCGGAAGCGAGGTTTAACATATTCTGTCCTCAAAAGACATGCAGTGGCTTCGCCAAACAAACACTAAAAGGCCTATTCTATCAAATCATGATATACTTGAATGTCTCCGGTTTATCACACCACAGCTCGATACAGGGCCGGTTCTCGGAGGAGTGTGTACTATGCTCCATGACCGAGGCAACTCTAAGAACACTCCATGCAAAAACCCTTGGCACTTGCAGCACCTGGCATTCGAGTCACTTGAGGGTATACCCATAGGCAACATAGTAGTTCCTGTTTGGGGTCCATATTCTGGAATCCTATAAGGTAATCCGAAAAAGGAACTACTATGGGGCCTATGGCTAGGCGATAGATGCTCTGTAATCCTGCTCACATAAGGTGGCAGATCTTGGGGTGCGCAGGTGCAATAGCGACAACCCGCTGCAACCGTACTCAGCTTGCTAGAGCCGGTAGACAGTGGTAAGGCGTAAGAGCTCCAGCTACCAGGCATCTGCAGCATTGTCCCATCTAGATCCCTTTACTCGTGAGGGCACCCTCCATCTTTCCAAAGCTGCTGAAGAGTGGTGTCCGCTGTACTGGAAGCTCTGCGCTCAGCAGACTCTGAAGCCAGAGGGTGGTTTGAGAAAATGTGACCCCCAATTGCATGATCCTCGCTGTGACCACCCCGAAATCAAGAAATCCTTAAAGAAAACATGAAGACTTGAATCCTATCAAACTCGCCGCTCTCCGCGTTCGGACCTGCAGCAGGAGCAGGAAGGCAAGGATGCTCAGCCACCGGAGCATCAGCCCAACTTCATTGAGGGGCAAACCGCGCCCAGGAGACGCAGTTCGAGCCAAAAGGCTGGCAGCAGCGGTCTAATGTAGGGGCCTTAATAAATATAGAATAGGGCTTTGGGCTAGTTTATAATACTATATTTAGAATAAGGACCCCCCCCCAAAAAAAAAATATAATAATAGTATTGGTAATTATTTAGGCCCCTACCTATAGTCTCCATTGTAGTTCCTTTTTGAGGATACCTTATAAAATCCTTACTATATTATTGGTTAAACCAAAAAAAGGAACTACAATGGAGCCTATAGGCACAGTAGGTTTCAGGCCCCTACAGTAGGCCCTAAACCCTAAACCCTAAACCCTAAGGTTTCAGATCTTCAACTGCGGCTGCCGCTTCGATGCGGAGCTTGATATGGAGACTTCGCGAAGAGGGGAGCACGAGAACTGTGCACACCTTACCAGGTTTCAGAAGTTAGGTTTTGGGATTCAGGGTTTAGGGTTTCAGGGTTTAGGGTTTAGGGTTTTAGGGTTTAGGGTTTAGGGTTTAGGGTTTTAGGAGGGGAGTTCAGGGAGCATTTCGGGCTTGGGGTTTAGGGTTCTACTGGTTCGAAGCGACTCCTGGCAGGATGGCGGGGAGAAGAATACCTGGTGCTTGAGGGCTTTTCTCCGGGTTCCAGTCGAAAGCAGGCGAGTCTGATCTTCCAATAAACAGTCATAAGGTGCTGGCCCCCTGTATTGGAGTGAAGGGTCCAAGTTTTGATGCTAGATGATTCTGCCTTTCGATATTTCAATAATTCGCTGTCATGGGCCAAGAAGGCCGTGCAGAAGAGACGCCCCTAACCACGGACTCTGCCCCTAGACTGCAGGCTGTACTAAACGGTTTCGGGCTTAGGGGAATCGCAATCCTGAACCATCACAGCCCTCTGAACCTCAGAGGCCGAATGCACATGCAAACAAATTTAGATGCGACCAAACAAACCGCAAATCCAAAGCCGTTCCTACCGGGACAACACAAGTGGAGACGGTTTGGCAGGGGTGCAGAATTCCGTCGTCTTGTGGGTATACTTAGCCCAATAGCAGCGGATGAGGCGACTATCACTCAGCACCCGGAAATCGTCCGGAAAACTGGAAAATCGTCGGTCAAAGTTGTAGACAACACCAGACATTCTGCAAGCCGGCAAAGCAAGAAACAACGAAACTATCGAAACTCATTTGGGCACAGCACAATATCGGACGGACTTGCTGATGATTTCCTAAAGCAGCACAGCTTCACGGATTCAGCCGAAGTGGTTGCCCCACTAGCTTGCTGCACCACCAGGAAACTCGCTCCAAACCCAAAACGGCAAAGCACCGTATCCCCACACCAGTCCTGCCTTCGCGTTGGCCCGGAGTGTCTCCAGCTTTGGATGAAGGTGTCCTCGGTTGCTTGCGGGTGGAGACGGGTTCAGCCAGTTCAAGCTTTGGGCTTGGCTCGCCGGAGCTTATGTACCTATAGTCTCCGTTGTAGTTCCTTTTGGGGGGATACCTTATAAAATCCATATTATACATTTGGTTAAACCCCCCAAAAAGGAACTACAATGGAGACTATAGAAAATTCTGAAAAATGTCTGAGGTCTTTCTAGCCTTTCCAAACTTCAGCAGTCAATCAAACCCTGCTCCCCACATCTGAACTCCTACACTTCAATCCGAAACCCTAAACCGAAGGTGAATGCTTCCTGCACTGGCTATGGCCTGAAAATAGGGGTCTGCTGAAACTCAATGCAACATGCCCTGGTAGTCCCTCTACCAGTACACTGCAATTCATCAAGGCCAAAACGCTGATGTCAAAAAATAAGACTCTCATACTAGCAGAACAGAGAAGGGCACCGCGGCATAACTCTTCACAACCTCAAATTTTAAACTCCGGCTGAATCAAAGTCATGCTGGATCTGGCTCTGGCTGTGTGTTCCATGAATACTGGAATTTACCGACAGGCTTAGAGCGGGGAAGCAGCCCTTAAAGGCACCACTCTGCCCTTGAAACTGGCACTACCCTTGCCCTGCAGCCGACCCGGGAAATGCAGAAAAAAGCCTGCTGTCTTGGGCCAAAGCTAAACCCTAAAGCCCTAAATCCTTAAAGGGATCCTAGCTTGCTCCCTGTTGGTCACTCCTGGAGCAGCCATGCAGACGCAATTGCCAACGCGATTCGGCCAAGAGATCGTCTCATCATGTTTATGGCTTATGGGCTCCCTCAATTCGGAGCCACTTCTTCTATAAGCGGACTGAGGCTGCTACCAGTCATTTAGAGTGTTACATTACGTCCTGCTTTACCAAAACGTCACATTTTGGAATCGGCAGCCGTTCGATACTGGGGTCCTGTAGCGGTGTGGCGTAAGGCTTGAGATTTCAGGGCTTTGCTCGAAACGGGGGAGCCGCTGTTGCGGTCTAGGCTTACGAGCTTGATTTCAGCTTACTTCCCTCCCTTGTGTTTCTACGTGCTGTGATGCTGCGGTGGCAGATGGGGAGCGGCGAGTCAGAGTAAGGAAGCCAGTAGAGGGCAACTGAGTAGTTGAGGGGGTTTAGGGTTTAGGCACACTGGACTTTATTCTCAAGCAATGGCACTGGCTGCTTGCAAATGCCTGCTTCATGTGAACCAGCGGGGTCTCTTGGTTTGGCTTGAGGCAGTTCTCCTGAAGGTTCCCCACATGTAAGG